TGATGAATGGATGATGGGTGGATGGATGGATGGGTGGATGAATGGACGGATGATGGATGGATGATGGATGGATGATGGGTGGATGATGGATGGATGATGGGTGGATGATGAATGGATGATGGGTGGATGGATGGATGGGTGGATGAATGGACGGATGATGGATGGATGATGAATGGATGATGGGTGGATGATGGATGGATGATGGGTGGATGATGAATGGATTAATGGATGATGGGTGGATGATGAATGGATGATGGGTGGATGGATGGATGGGTGGATGAATGGACGGATGATGGATGGATGATGAATGGATGATGGGTGGATGATGAATGGATGATGGATGGATGGATGTATGATGGATGGATGATGAATTGATGGATGAATGGATGGATGGGTGGATGATGGATAGATGGATGGATGATGAATGGATGGATGGGTGGGTGGATGATGGATGGATGATGGGTGGATGATGGATGGATGATGGGTGGATGATGAATGGATGATGGATGGATGGATGTATGATGGATGGATGATGAATTGATGGATGAATGGATGGATGGATTTGTTGGATGCACATGGATGAAGCATCTGATCCTCATTCTGACTCCGGTTCTGTTGGACCAGATCAGAACTGGCTGTGAAGGCCGGTCCATGGCGGTCCTGGTCGCCATGGAGACAGTTCAAAGGTGTCATCAGTCAGCATGGCCTCCTGCTGCTTTAATTGGACAGATATGGAGGAAGTGATGTAATTAGGCCGGCGGCTTCAACAGCTGCTCCACCTTAATGTGTCTGAGCTGATGATGTCATCGATCACACAGTCAAGGACACGGCGTCCACCGCCAATGATGTCATCAGCAGGTCTGGAGACGATCCATGAGGAATGCTGCATCCTGCTCCTGATCCAGGTGTCCTGCCGTGTTTTCTTGCTACTGGCTCTAACGTTCGCAGCAGCTGAGGCCGTTAATCAGCAGCAGAGGGAAGCTAATGCGGTTAGCTAATGCAGTTAGCTAATGCGGTTAGCTGCAGAGAAACCTGATCCTTCAGGGCAGCAGCAGCTAAAGGCCTTCAGGAAGCTGAAAGCTGCTGCTGCTGAAGCAGACCGAGGTTCTGATGGTTCTGGAGGCGGAACCGCTTTCCGACTGGCAGTCATAGCAACACTTTTTGCTCCCATCTGATTGGCTGGGTCGTTGTGGAACCGGATTTTAGCTCCAACAGGAACAATGCCTGAAATCCAGACGGCTCCTATCTGGATCTCTATAAAACTCACAAACAGAACCGTGTTCGGGTCGACTGGTGGTTCTGGATCCTAGATGAGCCCGGCTGCAGCCACCATGACTCATCAGGAACCAGAACCCAGATGGGTCCCGTCCCTCAGTTTCCTCTTCCTGGATGAAATGTTCAACATGGCTCCTGCAGGAATAACATCAGGAGTCCGGTGTCAGGTGTCCGACACCGGAACCAGGTCAGGACTGACTTCCTGTTCCTGTTTTTCAGATGAACATCATCGCCGCAGGGTTTTATGACGGCCTCATGATTTACGCCCGCGCTCTGAATGAAACTATGGCGGCTTCGGGAGCCAGACCACCGGGGAGAAACATCACCGCCAGGATGTGGAACCGAATCTTTACTGGTGCGTGACCAGAGATTCCCGATCGATTGATCTCTGAAGGTTAATCAGGAAGGTTAGCACTCTGTGGTGCAGGTAGAAAACTGCTGTGTCTGACATCTGCCCTCAGGATGTGTCGTTCCATCCGGAGCAGTCCGGTGTTCCTCAGGGCTCTGTTATGGAGTTAAATTTGTTTCACAATTATTCAATCAAAAAAAAATTTCAAACAAAAAAATCTTAAAAACTTTTTAATCATAAAACAATTTTTTACAAAACAAAACAATGTTTAAAGGGCTTTTTTAAAAATTTGAAATCACAAATTTTTGTTTTAAACTTTTATTTTTACATATCAGAATTTTTTTTGTTTGACATGATTTTTTTTATTTTTATTGAATTGTGAAACAAATCTAACTCCAGACTCTGTCCTCGGCACGCTGGGATTCTATGGAAGTTGTTGTTTGGGAATCTTCAGGCTGTTGTCAGATCCAAACAGCTGATTTAGCTTTGGGTCTCAGAACAAACCGTCCAGGTTCTCTGGTTGGATAATCAAAGTCCACCTCATTTGTCTCTTATTGTGAAAAGTTTTGGCTCAGATTATGCATTTCCTGTGCATGCTGTTTGCTTCCTGTTTGGGATCATTGCTGTCTTCATCACGCTGCTGGCTTGGTTCAAGCTGCAGCTCAGTCAGCACAGTGGTCCGTCCACTAAAACATTCCTGCCATAAGCGACCCGGTTTATTTCAGCTCCAGAACCAACCTGGTTCTGCTGGTGCCTGGGTGGCTGTTGGTTCTGAGCCGAAACAGCTGATCAGAGCAACGCCGGTAAAAACGTTAAAGGGTTAATAGAGCAGCCATGTTGATTTCCCGGAGGCAGAGGTTCAGAATTTGAAGGCGTTCAAACAGGAAGTCAAAGTTCTTTTCGTCTTATTTTATAACTGAAGATGACAAAGTTACTGACTGGAAAACATGATACTGGCCCTTTAATGGTTTCTGTCTGAGGAAACCAGCATCATCGAGTCGTTGACTCCTTCAAACTGAGCATGCATGAGGCAACCAAGGAGAGGAAAAAAAACAATTTAACAGGAAGAAACCTCCAGCAGAACCAGAACCGGGCTCAGCACTGGCAGCCGTCTGGAGGTTTGAGAAGGTAGAGCAGAACTGATGTGGGATTATTTTCTATGTTCATTAAATTAAAAAACAAACAGCAGGAGAGAAAACACCATCAGGTGATGGCAGCATCATGTCAGCTGATGCCCCTCCTCCAGGAAGAAGTCAGCCAATCAGAAGGCCAGACTAGGTGAAGCACCTGAGGAGAGCAGATAACTGGAGAACGTCAGTTTGACTTCCTGTAGCATCATGACTACAAAGACACTCTGCATGACCCCGCAGTCCAACCGCAGCTTCCCAGGTTCTCCATGATGAGCTGCTCCAGAACCGGGTTCTGGTTCCAGATCTGAGAAGATCCAAACGGACTGGGAGCGTCAGAGGTCAGATGGAGCTAGAGATGATGAGCCATCAGAACCCGTCAGAACCCGACCCGCTTCTGGGTTCTGTTGGTGGGAAATCAAGCTTCTGTCTTCCTCTGTGGTTCTGGTTCTGACTCAGAACTGTGAATGGATCAGAACCGGTCAGGAGACTGGAACCCAGGTGAGTTCAGGTGAGCTCCGCCCCCAGCTGACCTTCACATGACCTTGTTGTTTTTCTCTTCATTCCTGGAAAGCAGTGCATCACGTCCAGGAACACCTGGACCTCATGAGGCTGTTTACCTGAGACCAGGTGACTCCAGACTCAACATGGACTTTGGTCGTGCAGCTCGGAGAAACGCCGAGCATTATGGGAAACAAACTGAAATCAATTTGGTTATTTATCCTGTCAGAAAACATGGAGGTTAATTAAGTTAGTCAGATTATTCAGTTCATTAATTTAAACAGTAATTCACTAAATATGTAATCATTATTATTAACTCACAATGCCAGTTATTGTTTACATCTGGAGGGCAAGAAGATGATTCTTTTCCTGGCGCGGTCGAACCGTTAGCCCAGGTGGGTCCTGCATGTTTTATTCTCTGCCTGGTTTAACACACCTGGATCAAATGATGGCTGGAGAACATTGACCTGCTGAGAAGGTTGTTACTGCCACCAGGGAGAGAATAAAACCTGCAGGTGCCTCCAGGTCCCACTTTGGACACCCCTGCGTGAGCCAAATGAAACCTGGAGATGGACGGATTCGTTCTCTCGGTCGGCAGCAACAATACTTCATGTTTCAGGATTCAACATCAAAAAACACTAAAACGTTTCCCAGAGTACTCAGTCCATTTTATGTTTTCAGGCTTTATGTTTATTTTGCAATAAGTGGTCACTGTGGTAGATTAGCTACCACTGCTATTAGCTAAGCTAGCAGAGCGGTGGTTGATTAGCTGATTTTAACACCTGTTTAGGTTGGTGTTTAGATCACCTAAACAAATTTCACATCACATTTAATTACCGTATTTTCCGGATTATAAGGCGCATGCTAAAACATACGGTCAACAAAAAAAAAGGTAACAAAAATAAAACAGTAAGTTTAGTTGAACTTTATTCAACTATGTAACAATACACTCACATTTTTTTATTCTTCTTCCACAAATCCATCAAAGTCCTCCTCTTCTTATCTGAATTGATCAGCTGGGCAAACATGCCAGGTTCCCTCTCATCATCATCGGAGTCGGACTCGTTTCCAGGTGGCTGTTCAGCAACGATGCGGCTTTAGTGAAGCTCAGACAGTTAAGGCCGATGCATCAGCCCAGACATCCGCCATCCATCCACACATGGAGGCGTAACTCGCCCGGCGCCGCCTCCCGTCTC